TGTACTGTATAGTACAGTACTATAGTTTATGTTGTTATATATTACAGTACTGCCTGTGAGAGTTATGCAAGTAAAACCAAATTCATAAAGTTGGAGTTTCCTTTGACCATTTTTTTGTTGTGACTATTGTATTGCACATGCTATATACGATTCCTCACTTAGCAATTAGCTCAACTAACAACCCATTCATGGGAATGTAACTTGATTGTTAAATGAGGAATGTCTATATTTTACTAACAAGCAAAAGAAGCGTTTTATATCATGTTCATTACTGCTATCATACTTAAACGTATCATCTTATAAATTATTTTAAAATCAACAAATAATCAGCTGTGGGACCAGGGTTTTAACTCAGTGGCACAGCACCTGCCTGGCAAGCATCAGGTCCTGAGTTTGGTTCCCTGTACCAAAAAAAAAAAAGAAAATCAACTGTGAAAAGCACTGATAAGCATATCATTTCCTGACTTAATGTAAGTGTGACAACAGGCTGTGCGTTCATCAGCTTTCCACACATGTGACAAAATACCTGACTGCTATCAGTTTAAAGAAGAAAAGGTTTATTTTGGCTCACAGTTCAGAGGCATCAGTCCCTGGTCACTTAGCTCCATTGCTTCTAGGCTTACAGTGAGGCAGAACATCATGGCGAGGAGCATGTCGGGGAGGAAAGCTGCACACCTCCTAACAGACAGGAAGCAGGGTGGGAGGCAAACCGGAGTGAGAGAGGAGGGGACATGAGACAAAGGTTTGTCCCCAAGGTCCTCCCCCCTGGCCCACTCCCTTCGACTAGGCCCTGTCTCTTCAGTTTTTCATCACTTCCCAGTAATGCCATGCAATTACAAATACATCAGTGAATGAAGCTACTGACGAAGTTAGAGCCATCATGACCTGGTCAGCTTCCAAAGTCCACCTCTGAACACTGTGACGCCCAGGACCAAGCCTCCAGCACCTGAGCCTTGAGGGACATATCATACCCAGGCCACAAAAGGCCTTTGTCCACTTCTATACTGTAAGCAAAGAAATCGGAGACAAAAGAAAATCTTTGAAGCAAATGAAAACCATGCTCAGGTACAGCCAGGTCCTGTGTGAGCACAAGTGTGAAGGGCATTTCATTCTCTTTATCCTGAGGATAATGAACCAACTTTCAAAAGACTGGCAATTATTAGAAGTCTAAAAAAAGTGATGAGAAGTCTATCTTGGATTAACTAGAGCTGATTTCTTTCCTTGGCTCTTATATATAACCCCAGAGAAAGAAATGAGTACCTATTTCCACTCATTTACTCATTTAAAATATGGACACCTCTCCGGTCTATAGGGTTGTGTCCCCCTTAAATTCATCGGTTGAGATTCTAACCCCTGAGGTGATGGCGAAAGAAAGTCAGGGCCTGTGGAGATGGTTAGGTCACAAGGTGGAGTCCTCATGAGGGGGATTAGTATTCTTATGAAACAGGCTCAGAGGGAGCATTGTGGTCCTTTTCCCTAAGTAAGATTAGAGCAAAAAGATGACCACCTGTGCAGAAGAGGCCTTCACCAGTTATCTAAGCTGCCGGCACCTTTGTTACTGGGTTTTGGGGTGCTGGAGTCTACTACTGGAGGTGGTATCTGAGTTCTTTCTGTCCTGAGCAAAGAATTGGTCAACACAAGCACTAAGTTTTATTAAAGGTAGGGAAACAAACAGGCTCTGCAGAGTAAGTTTGGGGCAAGTAAAAGCAGGAAAAGAAGTATACCCTACAGCATGAGGGTGGCCATCGTGTAAGAGAGAACATAGTGGCAAAAACCCAACGTGGACCTTACCTTTTTTTTTTTTTTTGGTACTGGGAACCGAACTCAGGACCTTGTGCTTGCCAGGCAGGTGCTGCATCACTGAGCTACATCCCTGGCTCTTATACCTTCCTTTTTGTATCACCCACTCCTCAAGCTGATGTCAGGTCCAGGCCGTCCTATAGAAGCCTGTTCGTGTTCTCGCGAGAAGTCCACATGCAGGGTTTTGGGAACTGTACTGCTTGTGTTCAGGGATCTTGTAATTAACAGGTCACGTGCCTTCTGCAGCTCGCTTTGCCACTGCTAATCTGCTGTCTCACCTTGATCTGAGACTTCTCAGCCTCTTGAGTTGTGAGAAAAAGTTTCTGTTGTTGATGTGAACCCAGTTTATGGCATTTTGTTATAACAGCTGGAGTAGGCTAAGATAAATACCAAAGTGATGGAGTCCTGTTCTGAGCAGGATTTAGTATTAACCAATTGGCTCTCCATGTTTACTTGTGAGTTGTCCAAGGCCTACGGCCCTTGTCTGGAGATAGGCAGTGGATTCATAGTAAGTGAACCTCTGTGAGTCCCTGGTCACCCTGAGGCCTGTACTGACCTGTGAAGCTGTGACTCCTCAAAGGACAAGATAAAGCCACAGCTGAGGATGTTTGGCTCCAACCCCAATTAACTACAAGGAGACCGCAGCTGCAGGCTCCACACTCCTACAGTAAATACCAACCTAAAGATAAGGTAGTTCTCCTGATTGACATAATTTACTACTTGGGAAAATATCTCCAAATGTCCTGCTAGATTCGTCTCAGATTCATGCATTTTCTTCAGTATCTCCCTCCTTTGGTTGAAAACCAAATAAATACAGGCCACACAGAGAAATTCTTTGCTTTAGCCCCCAGAGAATCTCGAATTCTGTTACAGGGTTTGGAACCTCCTAGAGCCCTGAATTCATACCACTTGTCTCATTTATTTAAGCCTTCGCTGTTCACTGGTTTGGGAGATTGCAGGCCTGATCAACCCACAATAACTAAGGGGTACTATGAACCTGTTACCAAAGCACTTAGCTACTTTTGAAACAAATCACTTTCCTCCTGGTTCTGCCTAGCTGGGAAATCTGCTCTTCCTTCCCAACACTTTCTTCCACCCAAGTGCAAGGACTCTGGTGGCTCCACCAAGCCTGGAGGGCCACAGAGCTTCAGCGGGATGTTTCTGCTTCTCCCAGGCCCCAAATGTTTTGACAGCTTGTCCAGTCCGTCTCTGCAAATAGCCCACCCAATCGTGTGAGCACAAGGGACAGAATCCAATTGCTGTGGCCAGCCCTCTGGGAGATCCATGCAGATCCACCTCCTGCTCCATCCACCTGTGATGCTTCCCTCTTCTCTCCATGCCTGGCTCTTTTGCTCAGCTGCTGATACTCGGATCTGGCCCATCTGGCTCTGATGACCCATTTCAGAGCTTCTTTCTAGCTCAACCTCAGGGCTGCTCCTGGGACCCAATTGGGCCTTCACCCTCCAACTCCAAGATTTGGAGGTCCAGGTAAGAGATATGTGAGGCTTCCACTGGCTCTCAAGAGTGGCTTCCTGTCTAGGGCAGAGGATGGAGAACTGAGAGAACAAGTATTCGCCATTAATTATTCAGCACGCACTGAGCTTTCCTCCATGCCCAACTCTGCCCCTTCTACAGGGATTCAGAGGAGAACTAACCATGACTTCCAGCAAGGGGGTGGACAGCAAGAATGAAGAAGTGATCTTGTTTGATACAGCGCAATGGGTATTAGAATAGGTGGACGCATCCCTACACTAAAAAGGAATTCATTATTTATCTGAATGCCGAACTTAATAGAACTTTTTTTTGTTGTTGCTAAGTCTTCATCCCCAGGTCCGGGAGGAGGGCACCCAAAACAGCTGTGCCCCCAGCCCATCTGAGCCCTTCAAATGGAGATCATGAAAAGCCCTCCTTGGGAGCTACCCTCTCCTGCTTTCCCTGTTTTCCCCTCCTCCTGGATCCTCTGCCATTCTTCACCAGCCTCACTTGTGGGGAAACCTCAGTTCCTAACTCCATTTAATCACCCACGCACACTTGTTTGAGAGTTCATTTAGGACATGATTTCCCTGGATGAAGCTGGTGCTTTTTTCCAAAGAGATTCTGATATTTATCACCTTTCTTATAACTCCAAGCACCTGGCAAATGGGGATCATTTAGCGTGTTGTTAGAAACTTAGCCTCCAGCCTTGTCCACACTGGCTTGGTCACATGCTTCTTGTTAAGTAGACTCCAATGAAGCTAGGTGTGGTGAATGCCTGTGCCTCTTGAAGAGAAAATGTTCTCCCCTCGCAAAACCTTAAAAACTTGCTTGGCTAGACTTTCACAATATGGAAAAGTGGCCAGAGGCCTTATAGATTAAAATAGAATGTCCCGGCCTTGTAGAAAATAAAATGTCCCGAGCAGTCTTGTGGTGGTGTGACAACTTTCTGCTTCTCATGCTTTAAAAAAATAAGATAACAACAGACCTTGGTTTATTGAGCACACCTGAAACAGACTGTCAAAAAAACAATTACTTGGCTCGGTATATACTCATATGTTATCTAAAAAACTACACTTATATGCTATAAAACTTCTTACAAAATAAACTTCAGTATGCAGTTGCAGTTACAAACTTGGCTCTTGCTGCTCTGCATCCCCTGTGTCCTGGTTTTGTGTGTGCCTCTACCCCGGGCCCCGAGTGCAGCAGACACTCACAGTGGCTTACGCCTGTAATCCCAGTACTCAGGAGGCTGAGGCAGGAGGATCGTTTTGAGTTCAAGACTAGCCTGGGCTACAAAGTGAGCTCAAGGCTAGCCTGACTGCATAAGGAGACCCTCTCTCAAAAAAGACAAAGAAAAAACAACCCAAACAAAGAAGACCCCAGTGATTCCTACACCCCTTACGATCTGAGTTCAGCTCTGGAGGCCCCTGAGATTTTGTTAGGATAATCATTGAACTCAGAAGGGTGGAAAAAACACCTCACCTTCTTTTGCTTGGGGAAAGAGAGCTGTACTTCCTCTTAGCTCCCTGGGGATGCCCCTGAAATGGCTCATTTCATTGCCAGGTCATCTCCCAGGTACCAGAAAGCCTGCTAGTAAGAAACTAGTGAGACAGGAAGAGAGAGGCTCGCTGATGAACTGCTTGTTTTGGCCTGGATCCAGCCCCAGCCAGAAGCTCCCTGGGAAAAGGAATTGGCTGATTATGATCAACTGAATGAAGGCAGCAGAGAAGGAGGCCTCTGTCTGTCCCCTGCCACCACCACCTCTTTATAACAATTCAGCCGTAGCCCAGAAGAAAATCGATCCTCAAGGTGAGCAGAAAGTAGAGCATGAGAGTCAGTGTGGTGGTAGGCCGGGCGCTGAACCAGCAGGGTGGCAGGACACTTGGCCAGGAGTGATCTTCAGCTGGGGGTAAATGATCTGTGGGTCTCACCTAAAGCTACTACATCAGTCTCCATGGCTTGGGCTCAGGAGGGCTGGTTTTAACTAATATGTTCAGTGATTTTGATGCAAATCATGTTTGGCTGCATTTCTAGCGTAAGAAGATGGCTCTTCTACTCTAGGATGGAGACTTCATGCTGGGGATGGCAGGCTCCCAAGCTATATCTTCTACCTGCTGCCCGGGTTGTCGGAACCCCAGCCAGGACTAGTGCATGGCTGTGCAGGAAGATGTGGTGTTGGACAGAAACCGCAGAGGCGGCGTAGCAAGCACACATAGGGACCCACAGGGAGCTCCAACAGGGAGGATGTGGAAATTATTCATAAGTCACGTGACTTTCAAGGAGTGGGTGTACACAAATCAAATAGACAGGTAGATAGTTTGCCTAAAACTTTCGTAAAATATCTCTCTCTGCCAAGCTCTCCCTTTCATTTTGATGCGGGTCTGAGTTACATCAAGTTACAAAACAGCTTAGTCATATACACATGATGAATAAGATACTTATCACTGAATAACCTATTTTTCCCTTACAGGCTCTCAGCCATTTCTCCTAAGCAGCTTGCCAAGCAGTGGAAATGTTGGTACAGGTTAGAAGGAGTCAAATATGATTCACGAGTTTATACATTTTTGCATTAAAAATTTTATTCCCCAAACAACTACTTAAAAACTCTAAGAACCAATAGGATGATCTTGAGGGGAGGAAAGGGGGAAGCGTGTTGCACATGGCACCGTGTCGGGGGCTATGCCGGGCAAGACTGCTCAGGCTGTTCTGTCCAGGGATCCAGAGTCAGAAGGCTTAGAGGAGGTAGATAATTTCCTACAGAGGTTGGGAAATGGTGCATCACATCTTTCTAGAAAGTTCCCAAAAACCTTCCAAAAACTGATCAATTGCTCTCTGTTGTCATCCAACCCTGACATAAATATCAGGAAAACAGAACTGTCAGGCAGTATGCAGTAGAGAAAATGACTGGGCAGAGTCATAAATGAGTATCAAAGTACAGTGAATCGAAACGGCACTGCCACTGATGTACACAACCAAATCGATGCTATAGGCAATCTAGGCTGTGCCAGGTAGTCCATTTGTACCACTGCTATGCAGGGAGGGTGGATATCGATTCAGAAGATACAGACGAGGGAATAGAAAGTGAAGAAAATTTCTTTTACGGCTCTTCCTACCTCCTGCTATGGCTCTTGCAACAGGAAATAAAATTGCAAGAAGATAACTGCGGCAGATTGCATTTTCCAAAAACGGTGGCAAAACTATCTGCCATTCTACCTGCTCTTCTACAATATGACCTTGCCATCCCTGCCATTGAAAGGTGGGTCCATGTCCCCTTCTTCTTGACCCTCGGTGGGCTGGTGTCAGGAGCCACAAATTATAAACTGAGTCTAGGGGACACCCAAGGTCGTCCTTGTCCTGCCCTTTGAGCCAGATTGGAGCACGGGAACTCCCTGCTCGTCTCCGGTCACAGCTGGAACACCAGCGGCTCATGACTGCTGCGGCGCTCAGGGCAAGATAAGACCTGCTGCGGATGAAAGGCCCCTGAGGAACAGCAGTTTGCTTATTGCCCCCGGCTCATCCTTGTAAGAATGCTTCATTCCTCTCGCTAGCCCACCGTAGTCACCAGTATTGTTTCCTGAGCACCCACTCCCCTTCACCTATTGTTCTTGACACAGACGTAATCAATAAATACTGAGGTTCTGGCTGCCTCATGGCCTTTTGTTCCCTGGGAGCAGCTGGTCATCCCAGATCCCTGCTGCACCGCTATTTTGTCTCTTGCTCTTTCTTCCCACCATGCGCTGCACCACCCGGCAGGAGATTGGAACCCACTGCAGGGGTCTCCAGGGGGTTAGTGTCTGCCTCAAGCAATGGGGAACGCTTCTGCCCCGCTCTGGAAAACGTACCCTTGGAACTCTGAGGTTGTGATGTAAGTAGTTCAGTGACCCCAAGGCTGTCATGCTGGACAGGCCAAGTGCCAGGGCTCCAGGCCGCGTCACAGCTGAGCTCCCGGCTGGCAGACACCATCAGCTGCCAGCCATATGAATGTGCCACCTTGGGGCTGCCGATTTAGCTCAGCGGCAAAAGCGCCTGCCTGGCAAGCGCAAGGTCATGAGTTCGGTTCCCGGTACCGGAGAAAAACCAAAAAATAAAAAAAAAATAAAAAAAAGAATGTGCCACCTTGCAGGTGCAGCCCCCTTGGCATCTGACTGTGTTCACACGAGAAGCACCGAACCGGAACCCTCCTGGTGAGCCTTTCCCAAGCTCTAGATCTCCTGAATTTTGGCAAGATCAAATGGCTATCTTAAGCTGCTAAGTCTTGGGGTGATCTGTCACATAGCAACACTGAAGGGAACAGTACCCAAGGGAAACTCTGAATTTATAAAACCTTGGGCTCTTCCTTTGCATAATTATGTTTCTTTTATTATTTCTCTTTTTCTGAGAGAGGTCTGAAACTCACACTCTCTACATGTGTACATTACAGCGGTGGGAGCTAACTGCTTTCAAAAGACCAAAATGGAATGCTGTATGCAGTTAATTCCACCCCCAAAGGCTCAACCAGGAACAAAGCTGAACCCCCAACTTTTCACAACTAAGATGGATCTCGAAATGGAGAGGAAAGAGGCTGTTACCTTCATCGTGTGGGTTGAAAGCCTGTGATTTCTTTTCTTGTTCACCACAAGCTTTTCCCTCCATCTATAAATTTGTTTGTAATTTCATAGAAATTAGTTCTCTGGGGTTATATAACATTTTAGTTTCCAGTAAAGAATACAAAAAAAAAAAAAAAAGCAATGAATGTAACAACATAAGAGAGAACCTTGGAGAATTAAAGGACTGGGAAGTATTAAGAACTGATCTCTTCTGGAGCCTGTAGGACACAGAAAACATTAAAGAATGGGTGAGTCACTTGTTGGCAAAATTCCTCTGAAAAGGAGTAAAAGATGTTCTCAGCTTTGCAGACCATACGGTATCTATCACAACCTCTGAGCTCCACCATTATGGTCCAAAGGTGGCTGTAAACGATATCAGCTGAATGGGCATTGTATTCCAACAATATTTTATTATCCAAAAATGGGCATCAAGCTGTATTCAGTCCAAATTGCTGGCCCCTGCTTGGGATAATCCCTATTTTTTTTTAACTGTTAGATTCTATGATAAATTAATTTTCCAAATGCCAGCAATTGAATGTTGACTCGCATTTAGTTATCAACTGGGGCCAAGGAGAAGGACGCAGGTGGACACTGGGTTGGTTGGATTGAAGTCCGTCTGCGGAGAAGAAAGGCTGCTCAGAACTCCAGCCCTGCTTGGCCTTCCAGGTATAGCTGACCTAAAAAAACAGAGATGGCCTCTCTATGTGAAGCTTCTGCTCAAACCCATTTCCCTGCTGCCTACCCCAGCCCCCCCTGCAGATGTGGATCAGGAACAAGGGGACTGCTACTTACTTCACCCACCCATATGTTGACACACATGATGTGAATTCACGCCCACGCACAGGTGAGAGGACCTGGGGAGAGTTTCATCGCCTAAGTGGGGAAGGCTGAATTCCCTACCTCTTAGTGTACAAACCTTTTCACTGTGTGGGTTCACTCGGTCCCACATTCAATGAGGAGAGCCGCTCTCCATGAGCCACTGAAATGGCTTGTGGAGGAGTAAGACAGGCGCTCCATGGGTTAACAACAAGGGGAAATTGTGTTGCTTTGCCTTCCTTTATCTTTCCTTCTACTCTCTTCACTTTATGCCATTTCAAACTGAGCAAATCTCACAGAAATCATCCAAGGATAACTTGTGCATTTTAGCAAAAATAAAGAACTCAAGGCAGAAGATAGCCTTCCCTGCAAAGCCGAGAGAGACTCTCTTTCCCAAATGCTCTGGGCACTCCCCAAATCCTGCTGGCCAGATCAGGTGCCACCACATGTAGAAGCTGCCACACAGCCATGCACCTCCTGTCGTCCACCAGACCCTGAGGAGTTTGCCTCAGGAGCTCTTGCACAGACTCACTCCAGCGTGGCTTATTCATGTGCCAGGAAGTTCTGAATCTCCACGTTGGGAAGCACCTGCCACACCCGTCACTCTCCCAGCTGCCTGCTGAATGGCTTGGGAGACCAGAGCACACTTGGTCCTCTGAGCTGAAAGAGCAAGGATAAGAGTTTGTTTGGGCTTGGTTGCCATGGTTACATTCACATCTGTCTTTCTTCCTCCTGTTTCTTTCCACTGCAGGAAAGGAGACAGAGGCATACAGCCCTTTGGGCTTTTGAGGGGTGCAGTGTGTCCAGGTAGGGGCACACGGCCCTCTCCTGCTTGCTATCAGGCCTGACACATCAACTTCATTAGAAGATTTACACTTAGCAGATACTAAGAGTGTAGGCTTACAGCCAGTGTTTATACTCAGTACTTTCAAATGTCTAAAGATATAATTCAGGGTTATACCTAGTTCATGCAGCAATTTCGGATATCCCATGGGTGATATTCAAAATATTTCATATCTGATAAGGCAAAATCACCCACTAATCAGACTGAACCCAGCCCTGGCAAGGGATAAAGATGATATAGAGGGCCCAGAGACCAGCTTCTTATTTACCTACTTGCCAACCGTGATAGAAATGTGTCAACACGTTACTATCCTGCGGCCATACTGGGAATACCAGCCAGCCATCTGACTTGCTGTCCCTGAAATACCTAGATGAAAGCTGGGAATGCAATATATGGTGTTGAAATTAAGTATTATTCACCCCATGTGCAAATAACTCCTTTAGAAGGGTAAGCAGCACAAAGTTGTTTTAAATCTACTGAGACTCACAAATGCACTAACCCCACATCTACTTAGGTTCTACAAGACAGGACACGACCAAGCCTGCCCCAGTTGCTCCTTTATTTCAGTCCCCACCCTACTCCGCACTCTCTCCTGGCCTCACCTCCCTTGTTCAGCCTCGCTGTATCCAGTGAGTGATGCCTCCCTTCCACCAAGAAGCGCCTTTTGCTCTGATAAGTCCATCCTATGCGGAGATGTCCCCACCTGTCTCTCACTCCACCTAAGTATCTAAGAAATGGGCCTTGGTTTGACTGCTTTCGTTGAAAGAGAGTCTCTCTGCCATGAATGTACTCAAAAGATAAGTTCTCAACGGCCCGTGGAGGTCATGTTCAGGGGGAAAAAGCTTCAACCGGTGCAAGGGTGATTGTTTTATTTCTTATGTTTCGTGCCCACGCGGAACCTTCTCAGAGGGCCCGTGGGTGAAATCGGAGCAATACGAGCAGGGCCTCTCTGGCCACGCCCCTTCCGCTGGCGCGGTGCAGCTCGGGACAGCGTGAGACAGGAACCCAGGCCTGTGTGACCCAGCAAACCAAAGGTCCTAAAATGAGGACTCGGACCTGAGGTGAAAGCAGTCCTCGAGCATCTGAAAACAAGATTGGAGAATAAGGAAATGGCCCGTGTGTCCAAATAACCTCCTCCCACCCCATTCCCATCAGATCCCTCAAATCCACTGAATCACAAATCTTCTCAAGATTCTAGACTCCATAAGCATAAACATAGTCCTTGAGGAAATAACATTTTAACCCACTGTTCATGCATCTAGTCATCATTCTCAAATGTTTTGGGGGCCATGCAAGATTTCTATCATTTTTATGACTCGAGTGAGCAAAAATACCTGACAGCCTCAGAGTCCCTCTTACCCCATTATCCTGCTGACATCTGTGCCTGTCCCTCCTCTGTGTTCATCACTATCTGAAGCTCCCTCGCTCTTGTTTAATCACCTGGGTCCCTAGGAAACTATCCACACAATAAATTAGGAGCCAGCACATGGTTTATGTGGGCAGATTTAGTCACCTGTGGTTATCCTGTCCCACAGGGGAAAGGGGACCATAGGAAACTATGTAAACTTCACTGCTCTGCAGATGCCTTTGCCGTGCTCGACACAGCATCCCTGAGGAATCCCATCCACCCACACCAGGTCCAGGTGCCGCGTTTGGGCTCAGTCCCACCACCTCAGAGCACTACACTGAGGCCTATAAGGAGGAATGAAGGTCTGGGGATGGTGGCATATGCTGGTAACCTCAGCAGCTTGGGAGACTGAGACCGGAGGATTGCAAGTTCATGGCTACATAGTAAGACCCTGTCTCAAAAAAAGAAAAAGAAAGGAAGGAAGGAAGGAAGGAAGGAAGGAAGGAAGGAAGGAAGGAAGGAAGGAAGAAAGAAAAAGAAAGAAAGAAAGAAAGAAAGAAAGAAAGAAAGAAAGAAAGAAAGAAAGAAAGAAAGAAAGAAAGAAAGAAAAAGAAAGATGATAA